GGGGACAACCATGGCCGCCGATCTGGGGGACCCCAAAACTCCCGCGTCCCCCCCCGCCCCCCCAAAACGCTTCTTCCGCAAGAGCGTGGAGGTGCTGGAGGAGGAGGAGCGGGGCGAGCGCGGCGGCGACCCCGGCCCGCGGGGCGACCCCCGGCTCGGGGGGGGCGAGGAGGGCGAGGAGGAGGCGGAGATGAAGGCCGTGGCCACCTCGCCCGGTGGCCGCTTCCTCAAGTTCGACATCGAGCTGGGGCGCGGCGCCTTCAAGACGGTCTTCAAGGGCTTCGACACCGACACCTGGGTGGAGGTGGCCTGGTGTGAGCTGCAGGTGAGCCCCGAGCCCGCGGGGGTCGGAGTTTTGGGGGGGTTGGGGGTCGTGAGTTGGTGGGTGGGAGGTGAAATTGGGCTTTTTTCGGGTCATGGGGAGATGATGGTGGGTTTTTGGGGGGGTTCTTGGCACTTCTGAAGATGAGGACACCCCAAAATTCGTTGTGAAGCCCCTTATTGGCCTTTGAAGTTGTGTTGAACTTCTTCCAAAGCTGTGAGTGGGTCCTCAAACTCAGCTTGAGGCTCTTCTGATATCAGTGATCCCCAAAATCCTCCCTTGAATCCCACAGTTGGTTCTTTGAGCTCACCTTGAACCCCCCCCAAACTCAGACACCCCAAAATTCATCATGAACCCCCTGACTGGCCCCTCAAATTGAGACCCCAAATTCACCACGACCCCCACAGTTGACCCCTCTGCCACCTCTGCACCCCACAGTCACCCCAAATCCCATCAATTCCCCCCAAATTGAGCTGCTTGTCCCCCAAAGTGCTTTGTTACCCCCTGGAATTGGGGAATGATGATGATGATGATGATGATGATGATGATGATGACGACAATGATGGAGTTTGGGGGTGAGGATGATGACCCTGGAGTTGGGACATTGATGATGATGATGATGATGATGATCCTGGAGGTTTGGGAGTGTCAGTGGTGGTCCTGGGGACTGAGGATGGGGATGGTGGTGACCCTGGGATTTGGGGATGATGATGATGATGATGACAATGATTCTGGAATTTAGAAGTGATGATGGTGATGATGATGCTGGAATTGATACTGGAATTGATGATGATGATGATGATGATGATGATGATGGGGCGAATCTAGGATTGGGGGATGACAATGATGGTGATGATGATGATGATGCTGGCAATGACCCTGAGGTTTAGGCATGATGGTGATACTGGGGTTGGGAATAATGATGATGATGATGATGACAACCCTGGAGTTTGGGGCTGATGGTGATGATGATGATGGTGGTGGAGTTGTGGGATAACGATGATGATGATGATAATGATGATGATGATGATGATGATGATGATGGGGCTGTCAGCAACCCTGAGGTTTAGGCATGATGATGATCCTGGGGCTGGAGAACGATGATGATAATTATGACAATCCTGGGGCTGGGGGCTGCTAACGCTGACCCTGGAACCCGGAGCCAGCGCTGCTGCCGGACTTTGGGGGTGTGTCTGTGCCCCCCAGGACCGCAAGCTGACCAAGGCAGAGCAGCAGCGCTTCAAGGAGGAGGCCGAGATGCTCAAGGGGCTGCAGCACCCCAACATCGTCCGCTTCTACGACTCCTGGGAGTCCTCGCTCCGCGGCAAGAAGTGCATCGTCCTCGTCACCGAGCTCATGACCTCGGGCACCCTCAAGACGTGAGTTGGGGGTGCAGGGGGATGCCAGGGGGGTCCGGGCGTGGCTGACGGGACCCCACAGGTACCTCAAGAGGTTCAAGGTGATGAAGCCGAAGGTGCTGCGGAGCTGGTGCCGGCAGATCCTGAAGGGGCTGCAGTTCCTGCACACGAGGACGCCGCCCATCATCCACCGCGACCTCAAGTGCGACAACATCTTCATCACCGGCCCCACCGGCTCCGTCAAGATCGGCGACCTGGGGCTGGCCACGCTCATGCGCACGTCCTTCGCCAAGAGCGTCATCGGTGAGCGCTGTGGGGACCTCGGGGATGCCCCTGAGAGCCCCCCCTGACCGCCCACCCCACAGGGACCCCCGAGTTCATGGCCCCTGAGATGTATGAGGAGCGCTACGACGAGTCCGTGGACGTCTACGCCTTCGGGATGTGCATGCTGGAGATGGGCACGTCCGAGTACCCCTACTCCGAGTGCCAGAACGCCGCCCAGATCTACCGCAAAGTCACCAGCGTGGGTGTCCCACCAGCCCCTGAGACCCCCAACCCTCCCTCAGAGCCCCCCAAGTCACCGTGTCCCCCCACAGGGCATCAAGCCAGCGAGTTTCCACAAGGTGACGGACCCCGAGGTGAAGGAGATCATCGAGGGCTGCATCCGGCAGAACAAGGCTGAGAGGTGGGGTGAGGTGGTGGTCTGGGACCCCTGTGGCCCCCCAGGACTGACCACACTGACCACACCCCCCCCACCCCCACGCCAGGCTGTCCATACGGGACCTGCTGGACCACGCGTTCTTTGCCGAGGACACGGGGCTGCGCGTGGAGCTGGCCGAGGACGACGCGGGGCTGGACCCGGCGCTGGCGCTGCGCCTCTGGGTGGAGGACCCCAAAAAGCTCAAGGGCAAGCACAAGGACAACGAGGCCATCGAGTTCAGCTTCAACCTGGATGCCGATGTCCCCGAGGAGGTGGCCTATGAGATGGTGAGGGAGTGACCCCAAAAATCCTCAGGGTTGGCCCCTAATTGGTCTTGATTCTCCCCAAATGCAATGAGCCTCCAAAATTGTGGCTCAAGCTCATCTTGAACACCTCCAAAGGCAGTGAGACCTCAAAATCCACCCAGGAACCCAACAGTTGGTCCCTCCAACTCTTCCAGAGCAAAAGTCACCCCAAAATTAATCTCT